AAACCTCATTCAGAATTATCTTATCTGTTTTTTGCTTAGTTGTACCTTTTAATCCAACGAGTATGCACAATGTCATTGTCATCATGTGTTGACTTGCTTCGAGTTCAACTTTAGTTTTTTCATTTACAAAGTATTTCACACAAACAACACTTAACCCGCGTGTAATTTCCTAAATAATATGAACATTATACTAAATACAATAGTATCTCGAACCATCCGGGAACGTAGGTTGCGCTTATATAACTAATATCTCGAACCGTTCAGGGTGAACCGTGGGTTGTGTATGCTCAAGTAGTATCTCGAATCATCCAGAATGAACCGTGAGTTGTGTATGTTGAACTAGTATTTCAAACTATCTAACTTGAATCGTGGGTTACGTATATTCAGTTAGTACCTCGAACCATCCGGGACCGTGGATTGTATATATTTAACTACTATCTCGAATCATCCAGTGTGAACCATGGGTTGTATATATTTAACTAGTATCTCGAATCAACCAGGGTGAACCATGGGTTGTATATATTTTACTAGTATCTCGAATCATCCAGGGTGAACCCTGGGTTGTATATATTTAACTAGTATCTCGAATCATCCAGGGTGAACTATGGGTTGTATATATTTAACTAGTATCTCGAATCATCCAGGGTGAACCATGGGTTGTTTATATTTAACTAGTATCTCGATTGTTTTGTTTGTTTGTTTGTTTTGAAGTTCGCGCAAAGCTACACGAGGGCTATCTTCGCTAGCGTCCCTAATTTAGCAGTGTAAGACTAGAGGAAAGGCAGCTAGTCATCACCGCCCACTGCCAACTCTTGGGCTACTCTTTTATCAACGAATAATGGGACTGACCGTCACATTATAACGCCCCCACGGCTGAAAGGGCGCGCATGTTTGATGTGATGGGGATTTGAACCCGCGACCCTCAGATTGCGAGTCGAGCGCCTTAACCACCTGGCCATGCCGGGCCTAGTATCTCGAACCATCCAGGATAAACCATGGATTGCGTATTCAGTACCGTTTGCCCGTCTCTGTTCACTCTCAAGTACAAGTTTTATGTATGTTCATTTAATTTTATATATATGTATATATAATAAAAACATTAAAGTGATTAAAAAGGACCATTTTTAATGGTTAACCTGCTGTTTATGAAGTTCTGGATGATAGAGGATATGTAATCAGGGATCTTCTGCATCATATGATGCTTCTCTATTTATGTTTGGGTAAATTCTTACGTCGGCATATGTGTGTTATTTAGATAATTTTACATAACCTTTCTTTCTCTGTATGTTTCTATTCCAAAACTTTCTGTTTTTATAATAGTACGTGGAATCATTCATTCGTTTGTTTGAAATTAAGCACAAAGATACACAATGGGCTATCTGTGCTCTGCTCACCATTGGTATCGAAACCCGGTTTCTAGCATTGTAAGTCCGCTGACATACCGCTGTGTCACTAGGGGCGCGTGGAATCAGTATTGTTTAAATACTGACGAATAAAGAGGTATAATTTTTACTTCTAAATGACCAATAATAATTTAATTTGGCAAGATTTATATATTTTATTACCCAGTCCGTACCGATGTTTGATGGCGCCCTGTGCGACGTATAAATATGGCGACACCCCAACCCGAAAAATGTTCTTATTATTCTAAACATTTACAATACATTATATAAACTATTATAATCATTACAAATCATAGTTTTGAAGAAAAAAAATATCGTGCATACATTCAAGTTATCGTTCAGCACAGTTTGAGTATTGAATAAAACAAACCACTGAATTATTAATCAACAAGCTGAAGCTGCGCATGCGTAACTTCCGGACAGTTGAGCGTTTGCAAGCACACATTGAACAGGCAATACGGTACTGTTCGTACCATCTGCAAGGTCTGTCTTGAAGCAGACAAGCAGCCATTTGTTCCTTTGTTTGTTTGTTTTTAGAATTTCGCGCAAAGCTACACAAGAGCTATCTGCTCTAGCCGTCCCTAATTTAGCAGTTTTAAGACTAGAGGGAAAGCAGCTAGTCAACACCACTCACCACCAACTCTTGGGCTACTCTTTTACCAACGAATAGTTGGATTGACCATCACATTATAACGCCCCCACGGCTGAAAGGGCGAGCATGTTTGGCGGGACAGGGATTCGAACCCGCGACCCGCAAATTGCGAGTCAATTTTTTTTTATCTTTTTTATCATCCACCTTAAGCCTATTGGTTTTGGATGCTAAAAAAAACCATGATTTTTGACAGGATACTATTCTTTTTTTTCCGCTGATTAAAATATAATATACATAAAATCCAAATGTCCGTCTCTGTGTGTAACACTCACATTAGGAACCATTTTGAATTTAAGTTGCACTAATCATTCTCACTGATTTGTTAGTGTACTTGAAAATTCTTTTTATCTTCTCGGTGTGTAATTGTTTTTATCTTACGATGAAAATGAAAATTTGATGAACAAAGCTCGCAAAAAAAAGCGGGGCACCACAGGAGGAATTTTACAGAACCCCAACCCTTCATTTATTGACGGGTCGAGGAAAGCTAGTAATAAATAACAGTAAGTAAATAATGAGCAGGTTATACTATTTTCAGCGATTATTCAACATCTGTCAGTTCACTAAATGTATAAATACCAAGGTTTTTTTTAAATCAATGTTCGGATCTTCCTAGACTATAAATAGTGTTTGATAAAAAAAAGCAGAAAAAGTTTCTATGTACTCGTCTTCAAAAATCATGATTCTATAAAGTTGTTAAAGCAGTCTTCAAAAGCATTATAATCAATCACTCTGTTAGAAAATGTGTGAAAAGGTATGACACTGGATATATGCCCCTAGTGGCTTAGCGGTATGTCTGCGGACTTGCAATGCTAGAAACCGGGTTTCGATAGCCGTAGTGGGCAGAGCTTAGGTAGCCCATTGTGTAGCTTCATGCTTAACTTCAAACAAACAAACAAACACTGGATTATTGTTAAACGTATAACGCGATCTCTATTGGTAAAGATATGAAATGTTCTCAGCGAGAAAGGGTATGGCATAGAAACATTTTTAAAACAATGACATACTCATTATTATAAGTATGACACAACCTTATTGTTAAAGGTATGACGCCAACTCATTGTTAATGGTATGACTCAAACTCTTCTAAGGAGTAATAAACAAAATGGAGATCCCACCCCTGTATTTGGATGTAATCATATCTTACTGTCTTGAAATACAGTTTAATTGATGTGTTTGAGGAAAACCTTTTCCTTCTTTAAAAGTATGATCCATTTCCACTGAACAGGTTTCAAACATTCCACACGATACAACATCTTATTTTTTCGTCTGAGAGGATTGATCACAGTGTGGCTAGTAAACGGTGATAGCGTTTAGAGCGACCTCTATTGGTAACTATATGAAATGTTCTTTGCGAGAAAAGGTGTGAAGTGTTCTCAATATTATCACAGGCGTCGGGCCAAAAGAGCAAAGGTCCCTTATCTCTAACACAGGGGAGTGAGAACCAATACTTCTCTCCCGCATAAATTTCGATTGGTTAACGATTTTTCCAACCTGAATTGAGGTTTTGGTCCAAAATAACAGACAAAGAATGTAAACTGAAATGAATTTGACAGCCCGAGATAAAGTCGAATAAATAAGTCATGTAAGTTGTTTATCAAACTGGCTATTTTCACAATAACTTAGCTCCTTTTCCCTGATTTCCACCATACCTTCTTTCCGTCATATCTTGCACCCATTACATCAAAATAGGCCCAAAGTCTCACTTTAATTGCAAAACCATTTCAGAATTCCACTATAATTTATCAGTCTTAGTAACTAAGCTGTATTTGGGTCTAAAGAATATTATATTTCGAGCTCCATTATCTCCTAAATTTCCGTTTTGGTTCTACCATGAAAAGGAAGGTTTTCCCGCGTAAACACTTCACGAACCTCCAAATTTCCACGTGCCTGTCAGCTGGAGTACTTCTGATAAGCTTCATTATCTTCCAACTTTAAAAACTGTCCATTGTCCGGTTAAAAATAATTATTTGTCCGTTACTGCTAATTAAAGAAAAAATTCAAGTCTTTATTTCTCCAGTCCTTAAAGAAAGATAGTATTAGTAACAACTGCAACTCCTCTCGGGGAATTTGAACCTATGACATTGACAAAAGTTTGATATTTTGTCCAACAATTACGTACGTATCTGACAATTGGTCATAACCTTTTGTAAGATTCGAGAAATATAAGTCGAAAGTTTTAAATTGTGTTTTAGAACCTCTCGTGTCGAAATATGTAAGATTATAGTGTTAATTGATTACTGTAAAACCAACAGGGGTGGTTTATGTATAATAAAAAAAAACATAAACGATTTGTTGTTTTACCCATTAAACATAATGCGGTGTTTTCTGTTGGAAATAATAATTGTATTTTAGTGCTTTTATCTTCAGGCAGCTTTCCTAATTGTATATAGCGAAATGATTTAAGCACGATTGGTGGTGTGGACTGTGGTCAAAGTCTCGAGGGTCTCTAGACGAAACAATTATTATGATAACTAATGAAAGAGCAGCTTGGAAAAGAAATCAATTGAAAATTCTAAATTAAGAGCACTGTTTTTAATATTTTTTTTATTTACATTACACAGTATGCCTTGTTTTTCATTTCATAGATGCCCTGTTTTCATTTTACAGATATCTTGTGTTTTCATTTTACAAATGCCTTGTGTTTCCATTTCGAAGATGCCTTGTGATTTCATTTTACAGATGTTTTCTGTTTTCATTTCACAAATGCCTTGTGTTTCCATTTCATAGATGCCTTGTGATTTCATTTTACAGATGTTTTGTGTTTTCATTTCACAAATGCCTTGTGTTTCCATTTCATAGGTGCCTTGTGATTTCATTTTACAGATGTTTTGTGTTTTCATTTCACAAATGCCTTGTGTGTTTCCATTTCATAGATGTCTTGTGATTTCATTTTACAGATGTTTTATGTTTTCATTTTACAAATGCCTTGTGTTTCCATTTCGTAGATGTCCAGGACTTAAAAAGTATCGTAAAACAGCTCCAGAACCAGACTCATCACACGAATAACTCGTTAGTGCAACAGTTAAAACTTCGAGACCGTTTGATGAATAGACGTAATCGTAATTATGATATGCTCACTGCAGTGCTTCAAGCGATCTCACCAAAACGAAGTAAGTCGAGTGAGTTATTTTTTGTTTTGTTTTTATGTTCCTTGTTTCTAGAACGTTATCATAGTCTGTATGCTTTCTGATCATGTTTGTTTTTTCTGATAATTAAATAATTACTAGTTTATTAACAACCTTACGCTTCGGCTGCCAATTTACTGCAGCTTTCAGATGTGTTTTAACAATGACTAGTTTCGATTGTGACAAAGCCAGTGTTAGGATGAAAGTCTTGTAGTAGGAAAACATTGATCTTTTAGGACTAGCTATTTGAATGTTGCAGGAAGGATATTCGAGTTTTGTTTACTTTTATACTTAGGTGGCTAAGTACCTAATTCCTAAAACTTTAATGAAATTCTTTCAGAGATGGACGCTTCATAGTGAAGCGACACGTGATTGTAGGGTTAATACAGGAGTTCGTTTTTTATATTCTACAACTTATCTTTAAAGCCTAAAGAACTGGCAGAATATCTAAATTATTATATGTAACGCGTTATAATTTCAAAGCTTCAAAAGATGGAAAAGGTGGACATTCAAGATCCTGCCCTTTCTTGATTGGTTGATAGTTACTCGACTAGACAAAATTAAAATTTTATTCAAGTAATGGGAATTTTTAACTTTGTGTGATTTTGTTAATGCATTCGTTATGTATAATTACATTTTTAAAGTAATGCAACAACAGTCTGTTTTTGTATGAAACTGTCTTCTAACTTTTAAGTGTATTCATAATAAACAACACTATGCTGGCGGTAAACTAATGTTTATAAATAACCTGTCTCTAATTAAATGCCTGCAAACATTTTATGTTGTTACGTGTTTGTAAAAAAGCTGTATTTAGCGAATAGGTTGGTCCTCTTGTAGAACTTGGAATTTTGGAGTTGGCGAACCACGTTCGAATCTGTGCGAAGCAAATATATATATATATATTCCCCGCAATTTAAACTGTGATTGTGTAATATAAATGACATTAAACGATGTTTATATATAAATTGATGAAGTAACGTATGGGTTTGTAAAATTTCATGTCCATTACTATCCAATATTTTGCACTCCCTAACATATATTGGCAAACTATTTATTTATTACAACTATAAAGCCAAAATAGTTAGTCTTTCAATTCATAGATGGCTGCACGCACACATGAAATTCCTTATCCAAATACTATTCCCAATTTTGCGATCCTCAAACCTGTAAAGGCAAACTTTTTCTTTTTGGATTATAAAAGCATAAATTTTAGTTTTAGGTTCATAGATGGCAGCGTGCAGTAATTTCTTGTTCGATACTCTTCCCTATTTTACACTCTTCGTCATGTTTCAGAAAACAATTTATTTTTTAGGATTATATAGCCAGATGTAGTTTCTAGATTCATAGTTGACAGCACATAAGAAAAACTTTACAATTCATTTTAAAATAAGTTTTTGAAGTTTGTTACACCACTTCTAACAGAGAAATTATATATTATGGTGCAATAAATATTTTATAAAATACATAAAGGAAGTGCAACTGTAATTAATGGAAATGGTTACAATACTCATGGTATTTTTGTCCACATTTTGTTTATGACTCATATGTTACCAACAAATTCATAGACGTACAACCACTACAAGCCCAGCATGGGCAGGTGGTTAGGGCGCTCGACTCGTAATCTGAGGGTCGCGAGTTCGAATCCCCGTCACACCAAACATGCCAACCTCCGCCTTTGCCTGGTCCCGAGTCCAGGATGAGAAAGTAGGAGGGTTTGGCGTGGGGCTAGCAACTCCACCCCGTAAAAACCAACCTGCTACAAGTAACTGCAACAACAACTTCCGTTGGGAGGTGTTGTTGCGGCCCTATGCTCTACTGGGAGTTTACAGCAATAATAATAAAAAAACAACCAATACGGGACGTAAATACTTACGAACAGTACGATGTGTTTGAAAAGCAATTGATCTCTTGTCCCTCTGTGAAAAATTCTAGGATTAAGAGGGTTTTGATGTAAGCAATAAAATAAAACACACATTTAATCCGTTTTCATTTCCTTTATCATTAATGATGTTTAAAAAAAACAATGACTACGGAAATATACCCTCATTTGTTGGTGATAATTATTCGATACACTCATCACGTAGGAAGTGCCAGAAGTAGAAAATGAACGAGAAACAGAATGACCAAACAAGAAATATATGTGTGAGTGTAAACGATGGGACATTTTTTTCCACATTTAAATGTTACTTAAACGACGAAAGGGATGAGGCTTTAAATTTTACAGTGTTTTAAAAAGAAACTTATTCAGTTGCTTTGTCACCCCTCCCCCAATGCTCAGCGAAATCTTGAGGACTTAACGCACACAAGCTCTGGGCTCGATCTCATCAGTGGGCAGAGTGCAGCTAGCCCATTGAATAGCTTTGCGCTTAAACAATTCAACTGTCACGTTTTGAATTATTTATTTATTTATTATCACTATAGCTAAACATAAAAAGAAAGCGACAACATTAATATTGACCTTGGTACTGGTAGACTTTTAGAGGTAATTTGTTGTGAATATATAGCGTACATATTATTGGATCATTATTTGATAAACCTATATTGTGTTTCCCCTTTTTTTATTTTACAGTTCCTTATTTTACCCGTCAATTTTCACTTGACTCATCGCGCCCTCTATGTTACCCATTTTCTTTAGTCTGCTCCAAACAAAATAAATTACGATAATAGTAAAGTTGTGTGACATTAACCGAGAAATATAATAAATGGAATTTTGAAAGTGTTGCAATTCTTAACCCGGTCTCTTTGGAATTACTTAATCAATGAATATCTTAAGATAATAGTTTAATCTATCATTTAAATTATGCAGAGTAGATCAGCACTGTTGAAATATGGTCGTCATTAAAATGTAAACAAACATAACTGGATTCTAAGTAATAAAAGGATTCCGCTTGCAGTCATTTTACTATTTTTAGATGTGGAACAGACATTTATGTCATCTATTTTTCTCTGCATACATTCGTGTGAAGTTTTGCTGTTGTTGATTGAGTAAGTTATATTGTGAAGATTTTAAATCATCACCAAGTTGTTACAGTTCATGTCGCCACGTCAATGCATCTTTACCATAGCCCTGCTACTTTATTTCCATTGTAAAATGTTCCGTAGTAAGACTGTCATGACCCCTTCACACCACTCCTATCTGAATGCTTTCCATAATTAATATTGCTTCCAAGAACGACAGTTTCCCAGCACCTATTTCAAAAGTCCTATCGCACAGAAATCCATAGATAATTTGACTAATATGTCTTGATATGGACAAGCATGAATATCTGTTACATTAACCAGTTGTTTGATGTTTACGACAGTTGAACAGGAGGTATGACTGGAAGCTTTATCTTCCTGCTACCATACTTCGTTGGCCTCGTTCCCACGTGGAGATATTTCTTGATTATGTTGCTTACTGTTGTCAATGGCATTTTTATTCGTGGATTCTTATCTGTTACAAGATTGCAAGTTTTGCTTACTACGGCTGGGGTACCATTTGCTTCACTTTTCGTTTCATCCATGTTCATTTATTTTCCAGTGCCTTTTCAAATAAGTACAAGGGACATCCATACCAGTCTTATAAATTATAAATCCCTGATCTTAATATATGACTACTTTGCTGTACATCCTTCTTTATATCCGCAAGCGAATTACGGTAGAAAGTTTTTAGAGATATTTTTTTCTATATTATGCCTTTAGGATAGAACTATATAAAAAAATAAATAGGATTGGGTATATTACACTTTTATTTTTTAATTTGTATCATATCTGGCAGATGGCAGCACCATCTACATCATACCTGACGTAGCCATTTCACCAGTGTAGCGCGTGTTTGTGTATTCACAAACGATATGTATCGTTATAATAAAAAATAATACAATGACAAGTTTTCGTTAACATAAGGATGTACCATGAGTTCTTGGGTCAGCTGGATATGAGTGCACTTATAACTGTAAACTTGACAAGTTTTCAGCGATAAGAAACGGTCAGTAGTTCTTGGCTTAACGAATTTTTAAGCAGTTAGATTTAAAATTAGGACGAATCCAGCATCTTAAAAAAAGAGTGGTGGAGTGATCCGTACCAGCTAATGGCCTGACTATTTCTATTTTAATTTTTATCCTTCTAAATGTAGAAAATATGGATGAAACTGTCTTTATAAGTGTAATAGTATAATAATAAGTCTCGCGCATCTCATGACTAGATACTTCTCTTACTATTTCTGACTGAAAATATTACTAAATATGTTAATTTTTGCAATGTTTTATCCTAAATGTCAATGGACGTTTTCCTTTCAAACTTACAAAACATTTAAAGACGTCATATAATGAATATTGAACCGTATAACTTGCTAGTATACAAAAGTAAATGAAGCACTAACGCTGAGATCTAGATCTAATAGCAGGCTAATTGAAAACTTTTATCTAAAGAACAGGTTTCACGACGTCCCACGCTATGGATAAATTTCCTTTTTTCTTGTACACAATTTATGTTAATTTACGGTGAAGCTGAGGTTGATTAACTTGCGGAGAAAAAATAATTCACCATTCTATGGATTTTATTTGGTGAATTTCTATTGTGTGAAGTATCCGAAATACTGAGTGGACAGAACAAAAACTGAAACATAACGCATGTAGAAGTACATCAGTTGGTTGTCTTCTTATAGATAACCCAGAAACAAACATCATCTCCCAAGTGAACACTATAAAACTGGTACAAAACACCTGTACAAGAAGTACATCAGTTTGTTGGCTTGTTATAGATATCCCAGAAACAAATAACATCATCTGACAAGTGAACAATATAAAACTGGTACAAAACACCTGTACAAGAAGTACATCAGTTTGTTGGCTTATTACAGATAACCCAGAAACAAACAGCATCATCTGACAAGTGAACACTATAAAACTGGTACAAAACACCTGTACAAGAAGTACATCAGTTTGTTGTCTTGTTATAGATAACCCAGAAACAAACAACATCATCTCCCAAGTGAACACTATAAAACTGGTACA